GCTTCTTGGTAAGGAATTGTGCTATTAACCCAAAGGCAACACGGTTCAAATCCACTAGCTGCTCCACAGGAGAAAGATGAGCAATATCCACCTGTGATTTACAGCCTCTGAGAACCTTGTGGAGAATCAACTATAAGTTGGTTCTAATGTACACAGCAAAAATAGGGGAATAGAAATCTTGTGTCTCATTCCCTGGGAGGTTTCTTCCATCCTCTTTTCTATGGCCTGAAGACAGAAAATGAAGGACCGTTTACATTCTCAAGGTTAAATGATCTAGACAGCCAGCCCTGCCCTGGGAGCTATGAAACCCCAAGCTGCTCTCTAGGGGACAGGCTCCATTTTCCTTCCATTCTCCAGCAGTGAAGGAAGGATGAATGTGACAGTCACATTCCTGTGACCTTCACCAGGAGAACCTTGAGAGGAAGGAAGGGAATTCTGCTGCTTGTTTTGCCTGGTTAGCAGGAGCTTGGAATAATGCCAAAAGCCCATTATTTGCTTTTTGGCAACTTTTGAAGGTGCCATTAACTCTTTCATCCCTAGGGATATGAACAGAGGAGCCCAAAGCACAGAGGTACTCTTACCCCATATCTGCCTGCTTCTGCAGATGTGGCAGCATGCCTTCTGAGCTGGGAAGAAGGAAGGAAAGTGTCATGGGTGGCATGATCCTGCGGTTGCTTTCATGCTGCTTGAGGGAAAAGACAAACAATCTCCTCCCATGTGATTTAACCCAGAAACCTAGAGGGTTTCATGAGTCTCTTCCCACTCAAAAGCAGTAATGCATTTGTTCTCAGAAGGCTGAGATGAGATGCTGAACACACCCAGCATCTGGCCCAGTGAGTCCACTCAGTCACCTGCCAGGCAGGTCAGCTGTCCTGTCACCTTCCAAGAACACTTTGGCTAAAGCTGCCTTAGTGCATTTGCAAGATAGCTGAGTTGTCTAAAGATGCAGAAGGTTACGCAGACACCAAATATGTATATAGAGAGTTTAAAACAGCAACTCCAAGTCTATTTGCTTAGTCTTAGTCTCCACCTTGCAGGATATAAAGTGGGGACAACAACTATACAGAGAAGTTGTCTGAAATTTCTATCTATATGTGTGATTTACATTCTGATATTGCACAAAACACACATAAAAAGCAGGAGCAGAGGCATTTAAAATGGATTGGTGCAGTGGTCGCCACGAAGGGCTCAAACACAGCAATGACTGTGTCGATGGAGCAGCACGAGTCAGTGTTTCATTTTGCCAAGTTGCTATGAGTCAGAACTACCTTGACAGCACCTACCAACCTAACAACAACAAAGCAATTCAGAATAGCCAGGGGCAAAAAGTGATCATACAGAGGGAGGAAGGGTGGAAGCGGTGAAGTCAAGCTCAGTACCCAGCCCACACCACCATCTGATTCCCCCTGCCTTCACTGAGTACCTCCCCTGTTCTGGGGATCCTCCCTGACCAGAGTCAGCCTATTTTCAACTCAAGGGAGCAGGGCCAGCCAGGAGGGTTGTGAGGCCTGACTCCTAGTTCTAGGAGGACTGCACCCTTCGCCTACATTCCACACCTTCACCTTTTCACTTGCCAGGCTCCTTTAGGAACCAGGATTAATCAGGGCAGACCCAGCTCATTTTGTCTTAGGCATACAACTGGGCTTCTGTTGTTCAAAACACACACACACACACACACACACACACACACACACAGCCTACAGCCTGGCTTTAAAGTGTGGTCTCTGAGAATGGCCTTAGAGAAGGGGTGAGGACTTTTTGATCCAGAATTTTGGTGCCCTGCTGCAGATTTCGGTCTTCAATTGCCAGCCCCAGATTTATTCAGCACTGGGGGTAAGGAGGTGGAGACAATGGGGGTGGAGGCACTGACTAAGAGGGCAGAGTGTAGGAGCTGACCCACTTCAAGCCCCCTGGTATGCAGACATTGTCTTCTGCTCCACTTCCTGCTTATGAACTGACCACAACTACTTCCCTGTTCATGAGTTCTTTTTGTGTGGGTGTGTGTGCATGCATACAACAGCAAGGAGGTAGGGACTGTGGTTTGGCCATGATGAAACTGAAGCACTGTGGCAGAGCAAGTAGATTCAGTGGCCTCAGTCATAGACAACTGACTGGCCCTTCTTCCTGCCTCTATGCAGAGAGGTCTGGCTCTGAATTGTCAAAGCAAGCAGCCACTGTGACCAGAGGCCTATAGGGACAGTGCGCCCTAGGGAAGAGAGCAGATGGAGGGGTGTGGCATGGCAAACAGTTTGTTGATAGCACCAGCCAGGGTTTCTCCTTACAGAAGCTTTTATTAGGGGAGTCAGAGTTCATAAGTCACAGAGAGGTGTGAACAAATTGTCCTGCAGGTACTGTCCTTGGCATGAGCAGTGAGTTCTGAGGATGCTGTCCATAGGATAGGCTCTGGGCTGGGTTTTCTAGAGCCCTGGTTTTTCCTGTAAGAGCTCATGGGTAAGTATCCAGAAGCCCTCATATCACAGAGCTTTGATCAGACTCCTGATTTTGTGAATGACCCACCTGTCTGTATAGAACCTAAGGGTTTACAGAAAGGCCAGTCCTCCTCAATAGGCCCTTCTTGCTTGGCAGTAGGGACTACTGGCCACTGAAACAGGGGGTGCAGTTGTAGCAGGGTGCTCCTCGCATAGGCTCTGCTGGGTTGGCTTCCAGCAAGGGCTCATCTAGCACAGAGACAGACTGGGCCTGTTGACAGAAGGACCTTACATAAACATCCAGGCTGAGAGGATGAGGGCTCTTGGATGGCATTTCCTCTGAGGCTTTCCAATTGTGGGAAGGAAGGGCACGGAGATCAGAAGCCAAGATCATGTCACTACTGGTTAGGGTAGATGAACAACAGCCTGTAAATCAGAGAGGAAGGGTAGTGAGGGGCTGTGTGGCTATCTTGATGCCCGTCTCACATTCTCCTACTCAGACTCTCATCTGAGACTGCCCACCTGGGCTCCCTAGCCCATTTCCACCTGGGGTCCATGGGCAAGGGAGACTGACTGTCATGTGAGGAGGGGCTCTGACATCTGATGATTGAGAACTGGGGGATGCTCATACCTGTTCTGGAGAAGACTCCTAAACTCTTTCTTCCTGCCCATCTGAGAAATCCATGGGCTCTTGGCGAGCTCTTGTGGCCTAGTGGTAGGAAACTGCACTGCAATCCCAGAGGTGCACGGTTCAAATCCACCAGATGCTCTGCTGAAGAAGGAGGAACAATTGCCTCCTGTACCAGTCAGATCCAATTTGACGGTACACACATACAAAGAATAAATAAATAAATAAAAATTATCTTAAAAAAAAAGAAATCCATGGGCTCAAGACTTTGTTATTACTGCTATTTTAGATGTGTATAAATAAGAGAGCCTAGCTTAGTGGACTTAGGTCTGAGGAAATGGGCTTAAATCTGGGATCTGCCATCTGTGCCCTTTGGCAAAGTACTCAACCTGGTTACTCATCCCTAAAACAGTATTGTAAACACCTGCATTGTGGGCTTGTGTGAAAACACATGAAATACCACACTGAGACCCTTTTTTCCACAACTGTACATAAATAAGCCAGAACTCTACAGACACGCATTCGTTCACCCTGATGTAAGCAGCACTCTTGCTTTTTCACCAAGAAGGCAGGCTGCTCAGGGCTGGCCTGAGAACTGCTACCAAAGAGAAAGTGGGGCCTTTTTATAGTACTGCTCTCTTACCTGAAGCTGGGAGTCCTGGAATGTCAGGAATCAGTTGATAGCCCTCAGGATGACTGGCTGGGGAAGGGAAGGGAGGGCTATGTATCCAGATGAACTAGCATGTCTGATAAGCCTCACAGCCTGGCAGCTGAGTCTATACCTTCTCACCAACCTTCAGTTACAGCTGCTCACAAGAACTCTGGCGATAATAGCCTGGGGCAGGGCCTGGCCAGCCAGCCTGGGAGGTCAGTATTGTTGACTCTGTGGCCTGAGGAAGGATGGACTATAGAGGGGTGAGGGCTCCAGGGGTCACTCTCCCAGGCTCTGCCACCACCACCACTATGTAGAAATGTTTCCTCATGTGTTCTCGCAGAGTGCTTGATCTGGACAGGTGACTGATAGGATCCAGTGACATAGACTCCTTCACCTGACAGTGGCAGCTGAGACCAAGTTTGCAGCCTTTGCCTCTAGGACCTATATGTGCCCCTTAACAAAATGTGTACTTTAAAGTAAGAATTTCCTTGCCCTTTTGTTCAGCAAATGTCCAGCAAGTGTTCACATTATCTGGTGTATATAGGACACATAGGATGAATAAACTACCACCAACCACCCCACAAAAGGCCATGAGGCAGAAGATGGGCAGAGAGCAGACAGACAGTGGTATCTTCTAAGGAGAGGATAGTGGTCATGGAGAGGCAGAGAACCAAATGAAAATCTAACAGTGGGATATCTGTACAGTGTGTGATAAGAGTGTTCTGGTTGTGCTTAAGGACGATAGTAAAGGGCCATGTGCCCAGATCATGTGGTAGAAGGCCTAGGCACACAAGGCCTCTGCATGGACTCTGGAGAAGACAGAGAGAGGCTGCTGTCCCTCCCCCAGCAGCTCTCTTCTTCTCAGCTCCTGTGGTTAAATTATTCCCTGGGGGAGTTCTCCTGGTCTGTGTCTTCTCCTCCTGACTGTCTCTCACACTCTTACCAAATTGGAGCCTTCCCCTTCAGGGTTACTTATCTATTAAACAAAATGTCATTTCTTTGCCAACAGTTGGGGCCTGTCAAGGAAGTGATTCCTCTGGATTTTGAGTTTTCCTGCAACTGTTTTCAGACTGACTCTGTCAGTCTGACTAGGCCCTCAAAAATTATTTAAGATGTACAGATTTAAGATAGAAGGAGTCGAGTGTCTCTGATGGCAGGACCTGTTTGAGCAAACGCAGAGAGAGGAAAGGGCTGTGTATTTGAGCTCAGGAGAGTCACAGGGAAAGTGGGCAGTGACCCCTGAGGGCTGCTGCTCAAGGAAGAGGCTGACGCTGTGTGCACTCCACAGGAAGAAGGGATTCTGATCATCGAGGGGCTCCTCAACATCTCCTGGGGACTGAAGCGGCCTATCCGACTCCAGATGCAGGATGACTGGGAGCGGCTGCCCCTCACCCCCACCTCATGGGCAGTCGGGCAGTCCAGTTGTGAGCAGTAAGTGCTGGCTTTGGACAGGTAGGCCAGGTAGTGCTGGTCACTATCCCCCTGAGTATACTGTTGGAGGTGTGTCTTTGACCTCAGGATTACACACACACACACACACACACACACACACACACACACACACACCCCAGCATATACCCTCATTCTAGAGGGTCCTTTCTAGATTATAGCCAGGGCTTTGCAGTCCCTTCCCAGAACATTCCAGACTCTGAGCACCTCCAGCCATATTTCACAAATGCTCCCAACTATGTTTTCTGTGTTACTAGGAGTCTAAACAGTCTCTGTAAGACAGAATTCCTGTTGTTTCCTGTTTTACCTTAAAAGCAGGCGACTCGACGGCACATAACAACAACAACAACAACAAATCCAGACTCCTAATACCTTACTTTTTTCCCCCATTTTATTATCAGAAGAATATTTCAGTCAAGAGGAAATCACTTGCCACCTGCCTTGTTGTTTAATTGATTTTTACCTCTTCTCCAGCTTCCCCAAAAGGAAATTAGCTGAATTCTTCCTTGCTTCTGAGTGCAATAAATCTTTTCCAGAGACAAAAGAATTAGTGTTTGTTTCCTCTCAAGTAGAGTTGGTAGAGAGGATTCAGCACTTAGGTGCCTCAGCATCACATGCCCCTGCCAATTCCCTCTGTGTGGGTCACACGTAGAAAGTTTTAGGAATGTGGACTTAGAGGGTGAAGTCCACATCACTCAGGAAGACTCCAGGTTTAGCTTATACTTCTCCCCATCTTCCATCCCAGCATCCCAGCCAGAGTGCTCCCTGAGTCCTGCTGGTTCAGCAGTATCCTCAGTGGCCTCAGCTGGCTTAACACATTCTGGTCCCTCCTCCCCAATCCGGTGACGTGCTTCCAAGCCTTCTGAAGCTTCTTCCCACCATACCATTCTGTCTCCTGTCAGACACTGTTGCCCTTGCATGGGAGTTTGTTCTGCCGAGAGGCTTGGACATTTTGCCCCTTAAGTGGCCTTTGCCCAGAGTCCCTGCGTGACACTCTTCTAGGCATATCACTGTGTGCACACAACAGGTCCTCAGCCTCCCCAGCTCAGACACCTCTCCTTCCTCCAGACACATGAAGAGATCTTTGCTTCCTAAATGTTTACATGGGAATAATTTTTTTAAATTATATATGTAGCTGATAAAGGTATCTGACTTTATTTCCAAAAAAATGTAAAAACAAAAGATAAAAATCACAGTATTAACAATAGTGTTAATATGCACAAATTCTTGGAATTTTGAACATTACAGATGAAAAACAAAAGAAAGAAGCAAATTATAAATTAATAAAAAGTATTTTAAATATGTACAGTTGTTGTTGTGTACCATAGAGTCGGAAGCAACCCATAGCACAGGAAGAGATCTGCATGCCTTCACGATTGCAGTGAAGCTTCTTGCCACTAGGCCATCAGAGCTCCCTATCTGTACTATAAACACTTTTTATGACATTAATATGTAAAACCTCGGACTCACCAATATGAAGTAAACTAAAACGCCAAAGAAATATTAACATAGACCAACAGAAAAATAATCTCACAAAATAAATTTTTAAAAGAAAACAAATAATCAGTTGAGGATGTTGATATTACTAGGCAATACAGAAATGCAGCAAATTATTTAAGTGGCACTGTGAAATTCCAGCTTCAGCCTTGCCTGCCCTCCCAGCTTCTAACTCACATCTGCCCTCGTAGCTGGATTCTTAGCTTTTCCGATGGATTTAACTCACTCATCTCTCTTTTCAGAATGGAAGCACTTCTTCAGGACAGTGGCAGAGATTCAGCTGCAGAGCCAGGCACTGGGTCTTCAGTGAAGCCAGAGAGCGCCAGGAACAGCTCAGGTGAGAGCCTGTGAGTTACTAGGGTCAGGCCTCAGTGAGATGGGAAGGGTACTCTGAAGAATACCTGTGTAAAGTAGCAAAAAAGCAACTTCATATGTCTTCAGCCTCAGTCATCAGGAAATACTTGTTCAGATGACATGCTTTATGGATGTTCTTATTCATTCCTCACAGCATCCCCACAGGTAACAGTGGTGACTTTCTTTTACAGAAAAGGAGGCACTGTCTGGTAGAGGTGACAAAGTATATAAATGGTTCTATCACCATCTGGTGATTCTAATCTACCAGTTGCTCTGTGGAAGAAAAATAAACAATCTCTTCCCGTTAGATTTCCTAACCAAAATGTCGTTCAGTTAGCCTCTGAAAACCTGCTGGAGGGTCAGCCGAGTCACTTCTGACTTGACAACACACAATAACAACCACAGTCTTAAACCAACAAACCTCCTCTCCTCACTCTCTTTCCATCTCTCAGCATTTAGCACAGGACCTTTCCCACAGAAATCCCATTTAACCCAGCTATTCTACTGCTAGGAATATATTCCAAGAAAATCAGAACTGAGACATGAATGCACATCTATTTGTACACCTATGTTCACAGCAAGAGCTATTCACAATAGCAAGAGAATGGTAACAGACAGATGTCTGTCAACAAATAATTGGATTGAGAAAGTATGTTACATTCACATGATGGAATGCTATACAATACTAAGGAACAATGATTTTGTAAAATACTATAAAACTTGGCAGAAACTAGAAAGCACTATGCCAAGTGAAATATCTCAGTTACATAAGGACAAATGTTTCATAAAGTCACTATTGTGAAAATAGGAAGATAACTGGGTAAGATGTGTATGATTGTTCTAAAGGGGAAAGAATGAGAGGAACAGAAGGGGAAGAGAGAAAAAATTGCTGGGTTAGCAGAGGCTAGTGGGTCAGGAGGTGAAGTAGTGGGAAAGGTTCAATACAGACTTGAAAAGATAGGATGATAATAGTCATAAAGCAATGATAATTAATTATATAAAAATATAATGTATATGAATAATTATATAAAATACAAAGTACATTTACAAAACATGATGTATATGATATACAAACCAATTTTTTTTGGGAGAAAAACATATAAAACTATCCTAATCATTGGTGGGGGGAATACTCCACAGGTCTAGGGCCTCCCACCCACTGGTTGAGCTGTCCTGAGACCAAGTGTAGCTCTGTCCTTGGGTCAGACTCTGGCTCTCACTGTTCCACTATGCAGACAGGAACACTGCAGGCCTCCCTCTGGCCTTTCTCACCACTTGGCAAGCTGACAAGGTGGTAGAATAAGACCCCACAGGCAGCAGGACTGTGAATGGCACCAACTGCCTTGCTATCACCATAACCAGTGTCTTGGTCCTGCCCTCCAGTTCTCACTGTAGAGGCCGTGGAAGAGGACACAGAGGTCCCACAGCTACTGAGGACCAGGAGTGATGCCAGTTGTATGATTCAGAGGAGGCCCAAGGGGCGCACACCTAGTGAGGCGCAGAGGATCCAGCGACACCGCTTCTCCATAAACGGGCATTTCTACAACCACAAGGTGAGGCCCCATCGTGCTCTTTGTTCCTCACCCTTTGCCACCTTATCTCTGGGGCTAGTCACAGAGACTAACTTCAGAGAGTCTGTCACCAGCCCAGGCACAGCTGTGCCCTACTATAGACCCTGGAATTGTTAGATCTACCCCCATAACAAAGGGGACAGTGGTGGTTCTTCAGAGACAGAATACCTTGCCTTTCATGCAGGAATTCCAGTTTCATTTCGCAGCTGAGAAATCTTGCTGTCACAACCTATCTATCATCCAGGCTTCCATATTGCTGTTGCTAAATGGCTTAAATGGTGTTTCCAGACAAGAAAAGGAAGGACAGCCTGGTGATTGATTTTGAAATATCATCTATGAGGAGATGTCATATGGGCCAGGGTTTGCCACTGATTTTTTAACAAGAACTGAATTTTTTTATTAATTTAATGAAAATTTACAGACACTTTGGATTTCCACTGATGCGCACTTTCCTCCCAGCCCACCCCTCCCCCCTCAATTCGCTCTTGTCTTTGAGAAATTTAAAAAAAAACACCCTATTTCATTGTTATACAATCCCTCCCCCACCCCCCACTCCACTATGTAGCCTTCATTCTGGACTCCTGTCATGACAATAATACCTAATCATACATTCCTTTTAAACAGTTCTCTCCCTTATCAGTTTCAATGTATAATTCAATGTATACTGATACATTATTTATCCCCACTTTTCTTAGTTTTACCTCCAAGCCCGATGTCAGTCCCATAACAGTGGCATTATGCAGTATTTGTCCTTTTATGACCAAGATATTTCACTCAGCATAATGTCCTCCAGGGTCAGGTATTTTTGTATAATGTTTCATGATTTCCTTGTTTTTCAATGCAGCATAGTATTCCATTGTGTGAATATAACACAGCTTCTCTATCAATTCGTTTGTTAAGGGATACTTGGGTTGTTTCCAACTCTTTGCTATTGTGAACAAAGCTACAATAAACATGGATGTGCATATATATCTACTTGAAAGGTAGTTATTTTTTTTTAGGGTATATTCCCAGTAGTGGAATTGCTGGGTCAAATGGTATTTCTGTCTTCCATAGTGGTTGCACCATTTTACACTCACACCAACAGTGAATAAGGGTTCCAGGTTCTCTACAAACTCGCCAGCATATGATTGGTGTTCTGTTAAATTGTGCTATTCTTATTGGGGTGAGATGATATCTCATAGTTGTTTTGACTTGCATCTTTCTTAGAGCTAGGGATTTTTGAACATTTCTTCATGTGCTTGTTGGCCATCTGAATGTCGTCTTTGGTGGTCTGTTCATATCCTGTGCCCATTTTTCATTTGGGTTGTTTACCTTTATCTTGTTGTGGTGCTCGAGTAGTTTATAAATTCTAGATATAAGTCCCTTGTCTGATATGTCATTACCAATTTCCCGCCCCTCCCCCAAGTCTGTGGCTTCCCTTTTGACCCTTCTGGAGAAGGTTTTGGATGTGCATAGGGATTTGATTCTTAGAAGGTCCCATTCATCTATTTTATCCTCTCCTGGTGGTAGGTTTTTCAGGATGCTTGGAAGACCTGTTTATGTTGTGGATTAGGACTTCTAGAATTCTTCCAAGCTTTTCTCTAATGAAGTTTATAGAGTTTGGTTTTAGTCCTAGGTCCATAATCCACATTGAGTTGGTTTTTGTGTATGGAATGAGTTGTGGATCTTGCATGCATTTTCTACAGTTAGTTTTCCAATTTCACCAACACCATTTGTTTATAAAAGGCTTTCATTTCCCCACTTGACTGATTTCATCTCCTTGTCAAAAATCAGTTGACTATAGGTCGATTTCTGTATTCTCAATTCTATTCCATTGATCTATGTGTCTGTCATTGTACCAGTACCATGCTATCTTGACCACCATGGTAGTATAATGGGATATGAAATCAGGGAGTGAGATACCTACTACCTTGTTTCTATTTTTAAGGAGTGCTTTGCTAATTCTGGGCCTCTTTCCGTTCCAAATGAAATTGGAGATTGCCTTTCCCATCTTGTTGAAGAATGGGATTAGTATTTATATTGGGATTCCATTAAACGTGTAGATTGCCTTTGGTAGTAACATTTTCACAATATCGAGTCTTCCTATCCATGAGCTGGTTATATTCTTCCATTTCTCCACATCTCTTTTTTGTTTCTTGTAGTAATGTTTTGTAATTTTCTTTGAATAGATCCTTTGTGCTTCTGGTTAGATTTACTTATTCCCAAGTATTTAATCTTGTGATTAGCTATTGTGAAGAGTATTGTTTTTCTTAGCTCCTACTCTACATTCTCTTTAACAATGTAGAGAAATCCAACTGATTTTTGTATGTTGATCTTGTATCCTGCCACTTTGCTGAATTAGTCAACTATGTCCAGTTTTCTTGCTGAGTCTTTAGGGTTTTCTAATTTTACTGTCATATCATCTGCATGAAGAGATAATTTTACCTCCTCTTAGCCAATTTGGATACCTCTCATTTCCTTCTTTTGTCTTATTGCTATCACTAAGACTTCCAACACAATATTGAATAAGAGAGGTGATAGTCGGCATCCTTGCCTAGTTTGTGTTCTCAAAGGGAATGCCTTTAATCTCTCTCCATTGAGAACAATGCTGGCTCTTGGGTTTAGACTTTTTACGATGTTGAAGAAATTTGTCTTTAATCCTATTTTGTTGAGTGTTTTAATCAGGAAAGGGTGTTGGATTTTGTCAAAGGCCTTTTCTGCATCAACTGATAGGATCATGTGGTTCTTGCTCTTTTCTTTGTTAATGTGATGAATTACATTGATTGTTTTTCTTCTGTTGAACCATTCTTGCATACCTGTTATGAATCCCACTTGATCATGGTGAATTATTTTTTTGATGTATCATTGGGTTCTATTAGCCAGGATTTTATTAAGGATTTTTGCATCTATGTTCAAGAGAGAGATTGGCCTATCATTTTCTATTTTGGTCCTATCTTTTCCTGATCAAAGATATGTTTGCTTCATAGAATGAGTCTGGGTGAATTCTGTATTTTTCTATTTTCTGAAATAGTTTATGTAGAATTGGTGATAATTCTTCCCTGAATGTTTGATAAAATTCACTTGTAAAACTATCTGATTGAGGGCTTTTTGGACTAGAAGTTGTTTTATTACCTTTTCAGTTTCTTTTGTTATGGTTCTGTTCAAGTGTTCAATTTCAGTTTGTGTCAGTTTAGGTATGTTGTGCATTTCTAAGTATTTGTCCATTTCCTCCAGGTTTTCATACTTATTTTGAGTATAATTTTTCATAATACTCCATTGTTAGCCTTTTTATTTTAGTTGGTTCTGTTGTGACATTGTCCATTTAATCTCTTATTTGGATTATTTGTGTCTTTTCCTTTGGTACTTTTGCTAGTGGTTTGTCAATTTTATTGACCTTTTTGAAGAACCAACTCCTGGTTTTGTTGATGGTTTCAATTATTTTTCTGCTTTCTATTTCATTTATTTCTGCCCTAATTTTTATAATTTCAGGTTATTTTGGAGGGTGTTAGATTTTCTTGCTGTTCTTTTTCAATTTGTTGGAGATGTTGGTTTAAAGAGTCAATAGTCATTTTCTTCTGCCTTTTCATGTGTTTACTTACTGCTATAAATTGACCTCTGATTACTGCTTTGGCTGTTTCCCCAAGGTTTTAGTAAGTGGTGTTTCATTGTCATTTGTTTCAAGAAATTTTTTAATTTCATTTTTTTTTATTTCTTCTAGTACCCACTAATGTTTAGCAAGGTGTTGTTCAGCTTCCAAATGTATGGTTTTTGTCTCCTTTATCCTCTTGTTATTAATTTCTAGTATTGTAATATTGTGGTCTGAGAAGATGCTTTATATTATTTCTATGTTTTTTTAATTTATTGATGCTTGCCTTGACCTAAAATGTGGCCTATTCTTCAGAATATTCCATGCATTGTTTTTTTTGGGGGGGGGGGTGTTAGCCTATAAATATTTATTAGATCATGTTGGTTTATTGTGTGGTTTAATTCTTCAACATCTTTGTTGATTTTCTTTCTAGCAGTTCTGTCTTTTCTTCAGAGTGGTGTATTGAAGTCTCCAACTACTATAGTAGTCTATTTCCTTTTTCAGGTTTGTTAAGGTTTGTTTTATATATTTTGCAGGTCTTTCATTTAGTGCATAGATATTTATTGTTGTTATGCCCTCTTTTTCTATTGACCTTTTAAACATTATGTAGTGACCTTCCTTTTCCTTCGTGATGGTTTTTGCATTCAAATTTCTTTTATTAGAGATTAGTATCATACCCTCCTGGTTTTTTTTCTGGTTGCAATTTGCTTGGTATATTCCCCCCTCCCTTTATTTTTAGTCTTTCTTTATCTTCATTTTTCAGGGGTGTCTCTTGTAGACAGCATATTGATGGATTTGGGATTTTTTTTTTATCCAATCCGCTACTCCTTTTCTCTTTAGTGGTGCATTCAAAGCATTCACATTCAGTGTGATTATTGAGAGGCAAGGTTTTATTGCTGTCATTTTGTTGGTTCTTTTTGGTGTTGTTGCTAGTTACTTTGGTCCATCTTGCTTTCTGTGGCACCTCTGTAAGAAGGACATCTCTCAGTGTTTCCTACACTGCTGGTCTTGATTTTACGAACTCCCTTAAGTTCTGTTTTTCTAGGAATATCTTGATCTCTCCTTCATATTTGATGGGCAATTTTGCTGGGTACAGTATTCTTGGTTGGCAATTGTGTTGAGTGTCCCATATATGTCATTCCACTGTCTTCTTGCTCACATGGTTTCTGCTGAGAAATCTGCACTTAATCTTATCTGTTCTCCCTTATAGGTTTCTCTTTGTTTCTCCCTTGCTGCTTTCAGATTCTTACCTGATCTTTGGTTCTGGCAAATTTGACTATGATATGCCTGGGTATTTTTCTTTTGGGGTCTATTCTAATTGTGTTCACTCAGCTTCTTGAATATATATTCACTCATTCTTCATTTTGCCTGGGAAGTTTTCTTCTAATAATTCTTCCACAACTTTTTCAGTACTTTCACTTTCTTCTTTCTGTTCTGGGATTCTAATGATGCACATATTATTTCTCTTGATGATGTCCCACTTTATTCTTAGGTTTTCTTCTTTTCCCTTCCTTTTTAATTCTGCTTTTGCTCTAGCATATCAGTGGTGAGAATTCTATTGTCTCTTTCACTGGTTTTGTTTTCCATCTCTTCAACTCTGCTCATGTTGACAGCATCTGAAACATTGGACTTCATATTCTGGATCGTGGGTTCTTGTTTTTTCAGAGCTTCTAATGCCTCGTTTGTTTTATCTGTAGCATTTTGGATTGTTTTTTTAAGCTCCTCCTGGTTTTTGCTTGCAGTGTCCTGTTATTCTTCAAGTTTGTTTTTCACCCATTGAAAATAATCAGTCATTGTTCTTTTAAATTCTGTGTCAGAAAGTTCCATCACACTTTATGGCTTCTCTATTGATACTGTTTCACCTTTTGGGGATGACATCTTGCTTTGGGCTTGTGTAGGGTGTGAGGTAGCCTGCTTCTTGTGTGACATTGCTGTGGTAGAGTTTTTCATGCCTGAGACGATAGGTTCTTGATCTGAAGTCACTGCTCTAGAATAGGGTGAGGCAGCTACCTTACCCCTGTCTTTTTCTCTGAACTTCTAAGCCAAGAGAAAGTTCAGTTCAGGGCCTATGAGAGCAGCCTCTTATAGCTAAGTCAGATCAGGCACTCCAGATTAAAGGCAAGTTAGTTGACTGGACTTGGAGGCATGGGTGTGGAGTGGAACAGGTGTGGGGTGGGCACACACGGGGACCTCACTCAGAGTCCAGCTGTCCAAGTAGGCTCGCATGAGTTCCTCACTTAAATTCCAGCTGTCTGACTCTCCCCCTGTGGCTCCTGCCCATCAGGGCTCTGAGTCTGTCAGGGCTTAAGACAACTCATTCAAATTCTGCTGTCCTGCTTGCTTCTGGCAGGTGAATCTCATAGCATCTCAGCTGGTGGCTCCCATTGGGGCTCTGCTGGAAGCTCCTGCCAGGGCCCACAGCTCACTGCTCCTGTGGATCCCAAACACATTGTTTTAATATTAGTTCTCACTCAAATTCCTACTGTCCTGCTCACTCTCTACGCCACACACATAGCTCTCTGCACCACTCTCATCACTCTCTGTGCCTAAGAACTGCATTTTAAAGAAACACTTCTCAAACTGTGCAGTACAGAATGACTACCTGACACTCTCAAATTTGTTTTCTGTACATGCAATAGAGCTGGGAAGTGGTGAGGATGGTGGGGTAAGTGACAATTTAAGGCTGTATTCTCACATGACACTACCAAATCATACCCTAAGGACCACATTTTGGATGGGTATCATGGTAGCTATGTAGAGAATAGACTAGAAGGTAACAAGCCAGAAGGTTAGTGTGATGTCAACAGAGGACCTTAGCTTGTGCCAGTCTGGGAAGAGGTAGAGGACAGATTTGAGAACTCTTTGCCTTAAAATCAACAGACCCCTTAAAATTTAACTGATAGGGAGAGGAAGAGACTGGTTATTACCACCACTCCAACTTATGAATTCCATTCTTAGCATTGGATCCTAGAATCCAGAAAGCTGTGATACATACATAAGTATCTTCCTTACAGGATGTTTCAGGTACAGAGGCACTCCTAAGTATGGGAATAGCTTGAACAAGAATCCATCTGAATGGACAGACATGACTCTTCCCAGAGCCTAAGGAGAGGTTCCTTTGCTGTCCTTGTCTGCTCTACATGGTCTGGCCAGATGCAGGCCCAGACTCCTGCATGATGTCAACCCTGGTGTCCCCTGGACGTGACCTGAACTGTCTCTATTTCTACCTCTGTATAGACCTCTGTGTTCACACCTGCCTTTGGCTCCATGACCAATGTGAGGGTCAACAGCACCATGACGACCCTGCAGGTGCTCACCTTGCTGCTGAACAAATTCCGAGTAAGTCTGACTGTGGAGCATTGCTGTCAGTGTTAATAGTAATCTATCATTGTGTGTTTGGGGGCCAAGGAGCAGCCAAGGGAAGGAGTCATGGAAGGAGTTCTTTCGAAGGCCAGTGATTTGCTTGTGGCTCCTGGACAAGTCTATGTAGGTTTCCTCAGCTGAGGGGGCATCTCTGGGATCTCAAGCAAAGAAGGGTCCGTGGTGGTTGTGTGTGGCACCAGGCTGTCATACGAAAAGGGGCTGCTCTGTCACTGTGCTTTGACTCCGACACTTCTTGGTACAGGTAGAAAATGACCCTGGAGAGTTTGCACTTTACATCGTACACGAATCTGGGGGTAAGTGTCTGGCTGCATTTGTGGACTGAAAGATAGACTGTCCCTGTCCCCTTGGCCAGCTTGCCTCATATTGCTTCTCTGCAAAACTCTGTGCTGGGAAGTGTAGGGGCCCAAATCAGGTCCTTCTTGCCCTGGACACATTGTTCCTCTTACACAAATTATTCTCTCCATCCTAAACCCAAGGACACATGTCTTTTTTATTTTTTTTCTCTTCAGATTCCACCATAACTGTATGTTAAGTTGCCACAAGTTAAATAAGTGATTTTCATCTCAGCGAGCATAATCAGGAGTGGTTTGGAACAAGCCATAACCTGAGAGACAGGGTTAAACTCTCTGTTGCTACTCTATTATGACACAGTGTAGGGACCCTGTTGGCAGAGAACAGGACTTTCCCTCCCTTCACATCCTGTCTCTGCTCCCTCAGCCCCTGTTTTTATAAGCTGGATCTCTGCTGGTGAGGCAATGTCTCAGAGCAGCAATATCAGGAAAGTCTGGAAAAGATTCCACAAGTTCCCTTCAGCATCAGTTTTCCATCATGTTGCTGTCCTGCATAAAAGAGAAGCAATTCTGTGTCCTGTGAATCTTGTAGATTGTCCCTTCCTTCCTGCCTGCCTTCCTTTTATCTTTCTTTCTTCTTTTCTTTTTCAGAACGAACAAAGTTAAAAGACTGTGAGTACCCCTTAGTTTCCAGAATCCTGCATGGGCCATGTGAGAAGATTGCTAAGCTCTTCCTGATGGAAACAGACTTGGGCGAGGAAGTCCCCTGTGATGTGAGTGAGGGCTTGTGGCTTGGTGTCCCATTCCTGAGGGACAGGCTATGTGGCAGAGTGGGAGACTCCTGAGGCATCTGAGGATGAGTGTTGCTAGAGTTCCAACTACTGTCCTGAGTGCCACAGGCCCAGCACAATGATGGCTTAGCTTCTGCCTTCAGTCACCCTGGTAACCACTAGCTGTACCAGCTGGCTTAGTGAAGATTAAGATCTTGGGTCCTAGAACCCAGGTAAAGGGACTTTGGCTCAGTCCTTTCTCATCATGCAAGTAAACCCTTGACTAGAATGTTTTGCTGTTATGCTCATCACCCACCTCAGATCTCCTTAAAGAGTCCTAGATTTGACAGGATAGGAAGTGTTCCAGTCTTAGCAACAGCCTAAATCTTGCTCAGACAATGATCAAATTTCCAAACTTCTCAGAACAGCTTGCAGGAATTGGACCCTGATGGTCCTGCATTTCTCAAGCCACTTTTAGGACTTGGGAATTTTCATTTCATTGTTTGGAACAATGACAAGCGTACTCCTTCCATCTTACTGTATAACTCAATTTTACTATTGAATGTTTTTCCAAATGTTCATTTAATATATCCTCCTAGGGCTAAGTGTTGTATTCAAGATGAGAACGGATTCCCCTCTCCTATATTAGCATATAGTAGCATATACTAGCAGTTGTAGAGTTGTGAAAACAGCAGCCTTACCCTGTACACACGTATGTCCTTTACTGGCCCTTATCAAAGCCATAGGATAAGAGAACACACTCTTGGCTTTTCATGTAAAGCACTTTAAAATGTTCTTGGATTTTCTAGGTTGCTCAGTACATTAACTTTGAAATGCCGGTGCTGGACAGTTTTGTTAAGAAATTAAAAGAAGAGGAGGAAAGAGAAGTAATCAAACTGACCACGAAGTAAGCAGCACATAAAAAGTTAATTGTGGCACCTAAATGCCAGGGGCCAGTCTATGAGGTAGGGAATACCCAGGCCAGGGTTGGGAAGTGTCTTTCTGCTCAGTACTGACCTGAGGCTGGAGGACAGCTGCCAGAATGGCAACTGATAGTCCAGGGTGTTTCTCCAGAGCCAGCATCCTCACTAGCTTGAGCCACTTGCTGCTGAAAACATGGCATGGAGGTCAGAGAGCCAGGAACTTCAGTGGGCACTGGGTCTCACATGTGAGGGTGCTGGGACCACAGGATGTAGAGGGCCTGCTCAGTGCAGACTTGGCCTGGCCTAATACTCCATATGTGGGAGTTTTCCCAGCTCAATGGCAGGTTTTGGCAGGCCTGGTAGCTCCTTGAAGTGCAAGGACCTGAGAAGAAGGGTGAACAAGTGTCACCTGGAGACTCCTGGGGAAGCTGCACCGGGGCCAGCCAACTATGTGAAGCTTGACAGACATATTGTCCTGAAGATCAGTTTCTTGCTTTGATTCATGTTTCCCAAAATATGGAAGACGTTCATCTAATGCTCAAGTTAGACTCCAACTAAGGAGAGAAAGGACAGAGGTGCACAGTGTAAGAATATTAAGTAGGGACCTAGTTCCAGTTCTGGCTTCTAGCTGAATAACCCTCAGAAAACCACATCCTCACATCCTAGGCCACTATCTGTGCAGTATGGCCTGCCTTAGTGGGACAGCAGAGACCCCAATCAGAGGACATAAATACACCAAATACTAAACAGTGTTGCTGTAGATTTGGAGCCAGAATGGGAATCAGTTATGGTTTTTGAGTGTGCAATGTGGAAACGGAGGCCCCTAGATAAGGAAAAATGTCCCCCAAGCTACTTCAGAGCTAGGCTGGAGCCCAGCCAGCTTCCTGCCTCCTGCTCTCCTACCCTGTTTGAGGCAGTTCTTTTCCACTGTAGCATATGCAATGGAAACAAAATTCTACTTTAAAGCTCACAGCATAGTTTACAGCCATGCCTGATCACCCTCACAGCAGCGGTCCCTCTCCCTGCTTGAGAATAGAGTGGCTAGCCATTGTCAATTGGTCAGAAGTAGTGGGTCTCTTGGAGCCACACTCCTCAACCTCCTCAAGGTCAATGAATCCTTTTGGTTGTGTCTTCACTAGGTTCCAAGCCTTGCGTCTGACAATTCTGAAGCGTCTGGAGCAGTTGGTGGAAGTCAAGTAGCTGACCAATGCCAGCCACTCTTACAGTCTCCAAGCAACAGAGTGCATTGCCTCCTAGGGCCAGACCCTGCCCCCCATTGCTGACTAGGTGACTGACAGCCCTGCCTGCACACTCAGTGCCTGTTCTTCCCACCTATGTAAAGTTTAAGTCCTGAGCCTCCTATCCCCAGCCCTTTGCTTCCAGGTAAGCATACACAAGGCCTAACCACTCTAGAGGAGCAGAAGCTGGCCATGCAGAGTGGAGCCCTGAACCTGTAGCATTGCCACATTGTGTGGCCTGATGCCTGTGTCAAGTCCTGTTCGTCCCACACATGTCCAGCTCAGGAGACCAGGGACTTCCTGAGCTTCTCAGGTGTGCTTCACCTGCTCTCTAGTGCCTGATCCTGTGAAGGGCTATAGTCCCTGACCTCATCACCCACACAACTATGGGATCCCTGTCTGCCCAGCCCTGCTCAGAACAGGAGCATCAGTCAAATGTGTATGTGACCCTGCTCCCAGCCACCACTTACCCACAACATCCCTGGCCTCCTAGCACAGACATTACCCAGGGAGCCTCACCAGCCCAGCATCCCTGGCCAAGTCCAAATCGACATTCACCTTCTCTATAGGACTCGTCTTAGTTTACCAGTGAGACCGGAGGAAGAAACCTATCCATTTGATCCTGTTGAGTCAACATGGCACTGAAAGGACGCAGCCCTCATGGGGACAAATACCCTCCGGGTCTGCCTGGCAGAAGCGTTGTATGATATTCCCATCCCATTCCTGCTGCCCTGAAGAGAGGTGTGCATTGCCTGCCTTCCCCAGATCTTCTTGCCAATGCTTTGGTGAGAAACAGATGACTCTCAGTACTTTCCTTCAAAGGGGCATGATGAGAAGAATGTCTCTTTGGGAAGAAAGAAATGTTGAATTCTGGGGCTAGACACCAAACAGCTGATGGAGAATTTTTAGAATGAAATAGCTTTGCAAAACTATGCAACAGTTTACCCTATTTACTTGAAGTGCTTACCTAAAGCAAATGCAACTAAAGGCTCAAATGCTTATCCCAGTAGCCTCTGTGAATGGTACATGTAGAAAGAACCATAAAGGACTCCAGTGATAGGAAAGCTTCTGTGTCCAGAGCACATGGAGGTGACTCAACCAGCAACCTTAAGGGTCAGAGAGACTTAGAACAGTCATGCATTCGGTTCTTACCCACCAAAGTGACCGTTGCACCAGGGCCCCCTCCTCCTGCTTCTGTCTTGTACTATCAAGGCAGCTGAATCATTAGAGAAAGATGTGACATAACACCTCAGGAAGCTGTGACCACACTTCTAATGTCTGTATTCTCCTTACATGGCAGAATTTCCTCGGTGTTCAAGAAATGATCTAGGGGAACCAACTAATAAAAATCCCTATGGATTGCAATGCTTCAACTTTGTTGTGCAATGGTTGAACTGAAGAAATTAGGAAAGGGCTTTCTTATTCTTTTTGTATCTAATCTGGCTCTTACCTCTAACCTCTCCCATCTCTGCAGTATTAATTAATGTTGTTTGGCATATGATCCAAAACTGAACCACAGCCCACCACTCTGGATCAATGCCTGTCTCTGTGTATGCCCTTCAGTTAAGGTCCAGCTTGAGAAGATGTCATAAGAAACAGAATAGGAATCACTGGTGGAGGCCTTGGGTGATGAGACAATACACAAAGATCTTATCATCAGGATGGACAGGATCTCTCAGATGAGAGGAGGCTAAGTGAGGGTGGGAAATGAACTGAAGCAGGAGCTCCTCAGATATTTTACTCCAAATCCCTAACTTAGAATTTTAGAGGTAAATAACTATCCTTCAATTTGTTCAGTATGGGTGGATTACTGTCCTAACACCAGTTCCTGTGCTCAGCCTTGGAGGGACAAAGGGATTGGAGCACTATACAGCCATCATTCAAGATATCCTGGGAAGAAGCCAGGCCAGACAGTGTGGAGTGAGAGCTAGGAGAGCTGCCAGAAGGAGCCTGAGGCTGAGCTGGAGTGGGCATCACAGGCCAGGGAGAGAAGACATCTTCAGTCCACAGCTGAGCAGCTCATGGAAACTCAGAAACCCTTCTACACACATTGATCTTTTTTAAGAATTGTTACAATATTTTCTAATGTAAGGCCCAGTCACTGGGAAATAGGTGTGTCGGAGACAATAAGATTGGCAAGGGATAGAGCAGGGTTAAGGGCTGTTGTATATAGAGTCGCTATGAGTTGCAGGTGACTTGGTGCACATAACAACAAAGCCCATTTAAGTATGTTCTTATAACTAATTGCTGAAAATTATGTCTTAAGAAAAATTACTAAAAGCCGTACAGGCAAGGGGAAAATAGCCATTTCTATAATAACTTGCAGGGTTAACAAACATATCTTTAAGTGCCATATTTGGTTTTTAGAAGTATTCTGAAAAGGTGCTGCTTAAGTCCACCTCACACCTCAATTCAGACTCTCTGTGATGGGATCTGTTGTTTCCAGCTGTTGTGTGCAGAGTTTCATTTTCCTTCTCAATGCTTTTGCTGTTGTGTTAAGTTGCAATTGACTCATAACTAACCCTCCAGCAGATTTTTCAGATGCAGTAAATTATATAGGAGGAGATTGCCCATTCTCCTGCAGAGTAGCTGGTGGATTTGAAATACACACTTTCTGATTGCAGCACAGCTTTTTTCTCTAGGCCCCCAGATATTTTGTATATGCTTGTTCGTTCACTTACTCAAATCTCAGATAATAAGTAAAAGACTGTGATTTGTGTGGGTGGCATAAATGGTTAAATGCAAGACTATTATTAAATGAAACTTGGCAACTTGAACAGAGGCACCTCAGAAGAAAGACCTGGTGATCAGCTTCCAAAAAAATTATCTATTGAAAACTCTGCAAGACAAATTCTATTGTGACATGCAATGGCCCTGAGACAGAATCAACTCATCAGCAACTAGTACAAAGTAAGCTCTCTTGTCACAGAATAACTTCTGATATAGGACTGTCCTCTCAAGGCAGGCCTCAAATACCGGGGGGCGGGGGGGGGGGAAATAAACAGACCAGGATAAAATCAACCTGACTGAACAAATAGACCACTCCAGGAAAGAGCGAGTTTGTTTGCCTATAAGGAAGGGCTCAAAACCAACTTGCTTTTCTCATAGTGATAATCACATACTATCTGCCAAATATTGGCAGTTTGAAACTACTAGTGACTTGGCAAGAGAAAGATGGGCAGTTTCTTCTCAGAAAGACTGACAGTCTCAGAAACCTGACAGATGGTTTCTATGAGTTGGAATCAACTGGAAAGCAATAGGTGAGACAGACTGGCTTGTGATTGCACCTGGGTCAACGATGTGACCAGATTGCTTGTTCAGTGTGTGCCAAGCAGCAGCACACCCTGCCAAGACCACATTGGTTTGTCTGCCTGCCTGCCTTCCTATCTACCAGAAAGGAGAGTGCATAGTAAAAATCAGTAAAAGCCATAATAAAAGGGGGGGTGTTCCCCTCACTTTACAAACGTGCTTTTTCTAGAATGGTCCTTCAAATACTAAGAGCCTCAGACACATGGTATGCAATTTCCCAGAAAGTCAACCATTAGTATCTGGCTGCTCTTGGACAAGAGTCCCAAGAAAGAAGGACTCTACTAGGATTTGATGGTGACATAACTAGTCTTTTCTGACCTGTGGGTCTCTCCCATTTCCTTGCCTCATCTTTCCTTTTAAATGTCTGATCACTTTAAATAATTTAATTTGCTTAAAAATTACCTAGCACTTTATCTCAGAGATATGCTTGTATTTAGAGGTTAAGAATGTAGAGTCTGGAGCCAAATTCTCTGTCTGGGTCAAAGTCAGCCTCTGCCATTTAGAAGTGTGACTTTGGCCAAGTTGCTTGTCTTCATCTGTAAAACAGCAGTTTCCATATGTTAAGGTTGCTTGTTAAAATGCTTATTAGCCCTTGCTGCAGTTTTATCCAACCAAAAAAAAAGTTTAGTGGCTACATCATGATCTCTTTCTCTTTCATGATACATGTAGATAATCTGGGTTGTATTTGGTATCTGGGACTGTAGTCAGTTCCAAGTTGACTTCCGTGGCCATGATCACCTGTCCTCATTTTTTATTCTAAGGATCAGCCCTTATTTGCGACATGTTATTTTCAAAACCAAATAAAGAGCTGGAGTTGTATCTCTCTTCCTCTCCCAACACACACACACACACACAAAGAGGGGGAGGTTGGGTGGGATGAAACCACAGGTTTGGTGGGAGGAGGGATGGAGTGAAGGAAATAGAAAAGATGTGGGAAAGACAGATGGACAAGGTCCAATGGTGATTAATTTTATAAAACACAATGCATGGGAGTGAAACACAATATGAATGAAGGATACTGTGAAACACAATGTATATGAATTTTGTAAGCAAACCAATATAAATAAATATTTTAAAATTCATTTATTTAAAATTACATTTCCTACTTTCTGCAAATACATATGTCTAGGCCTTCTGTGACTGACCCAGTAGTTTTCAGGCACAGGAATATCGGGTGAACCACCCTTATCTGCAATATGAAAATAAGCCAGTTTGAACTAATAAGTTCCTAAATGTACTCTTTCAAAGGAATAGGACAAACACGCCCAGCAAAGTATTGTGTGTATGTGTTTTGTGTGGGGTTTTTTTTTTTCCAACAAGGAAACACTGCATGGTTCAAAACTAGCAAAGTATTTTTGTTCTTGAGTTTTTTTCCAAACTGTCCTGGATATCTGGCAACTGCGTCCACCAACCTTCTCTAATTACTATCATCAACTTGTAATATAATTTAACGGTAAAAACAATGACAGTGGCTCATATGTGCTATGAGAATCCCAGAACACTTAGTTGTGCTCTTGTGAAACCTAGACCTAGACCAAGGAACTACTCCTGTCTGAACAGAACAAAGGAATGCTGCATGGTTTCAAATTAAGCAAGGTGTGCTTTAAGACAGTATCCTTTCTCCATATCTATTCAATCTATATGCTAAGCAAATAATTCAAGAAGCTGGACTCTATGAAGAAGAATGTGGCATCAGGATTGGAGCAAGTCTCATCAACAAATTTTGTTCTACAGATGACACAACCTTGCTTGCTGAAAGTGACTACCGTCTTCAATATGGATTCCAGCTCAATATCAAACCACAAATTTTCACCACTGGACATCATGATACATGCAGAAAAAATTGAAATTGTTAAAAACTTTCTCTTACTTACTTGGAGCCACAGCCACCACCCTTGGTACTAGCAGTCAGGAGATAAGGAGAGATGTATTGCTTTCTTGCCTGTTGAAAAAGCAGGACAAAATGCAATGAATTGACAATCAGACATTGTGTGTATTGTAATTAATGTTATGGACCAAAATGTGCATGAAGGATTTATTGGGGGAGGAAAACAACTATGTAAACTCACTCAAATCGTAATAAGAATTTAGGGAGGGAAAAGAACTACAAGTTACGCACATAATATTTGCCTAAAAATAAGATATTAAATATTTTCGTTGTTCATGAACTTTGTTATTGTTGTTAAGTGCCCGTAGAGTTTTTAATTAAAAAAATTTAAAAATGCAAGTAGAATAAAACAACCCGATTTCGGGGGAGCGGGGACCATAGAGGGGTGCTCCGCCACGTGCCTAGAAAGGCTAGGAGGCGGTGACGTACGAAGCAGCGCTCACTTCCGGTGAGTGGAGCGCGTTGCTGAGGCAGCAGGGTGTCGGCCGACCCCAGCGTGGTGAGTGGGTCTTGCCGTGGCTGCCTCGTGGGCAGGCGCTCACCAGGCAGATGGCAGGAGTGTGGCGTGGGACAGACTGGAGTCAGGCAGGCGGCGGGCGCGCAGGGCCCGGATCCGTGAGGCGTGGCGGTCGGGCCTGGCAGGAGGGCCGCGGCCGGGGAGCGGATCCCAGGCCGCGCTGTAGCGAACTGGCCGAGAGCGGACAAAACTGGGCTGTTGACGCTCGGTTCTTACCCCTTTAGTCACAGAGCTCTACAGATAATGACTGATTTAAACTTCCAGGGCCCTGGAAGTGCTTTGTGATCGCCCCTGTTTAATGGAAGCAGGATGGAGTCATCTCCCCTCTCCGCTCAGGTTCAGCACAGGATTCGCATTTGCTATTGATCGCAGCGCAGAAAGTGGCTTTGGAAGCGTTGCTCTGGACGAGTTAGAGGCAAGGAAGGGTTCAGGGCCAGGGCGAAGTCTACCAGCTCTGAGCTTCGGTGTCCGTTAGGATAGTGCAGTGTTCGGCATATAGGCGACCCTGTCAGCTAGAATATCCTCATTTTCAGTGCTTTAGGTTAATTACATAAGCTTAGAGTTTCATGTAAGACATGACTGAGAGAAAAGATTTTATATATAGTTAGGGTCGGGGCTGTGAATACCAGTGCCGTGCCCTTAACACAATTCTTGGTGTGTGGTAATTGTTCTAGAAGTATTTACTAATGTTAAGCGATTTTGTTCTTTCTGTAATTTTAAATAATTTCCCATTTGCTCATTACTACCTTAAATGCTCATTACTGCCTTAATTGTAGCGGATCTGTGGAAGCTCTGGTAAGGAGTTTTGCTGTGAGCACAAAGGCACGCTGTTAGAATCCACCAGCTTCCCATAAGAAAGAGAGTTAATCTGCTTGTGTGATTTACAACCTCTAAAATCCACTGGAGGATCAGCTATGAGTAGATTTGACTCAATAGCAATGAGTCGTTGAATCACAAAATAATCTAGATTAAGTTAAAGTACCAGTAAACTTGAAGAAACACTTAGGTAAGAAGGTAATTTGTGTTTTCACTGTTTGCTTGTATGTAGAGACTCAGGGTAATTCTTATTTTGATGGCAGTGTAGGGAAAAATAGACCTTATGATTCATTACTCCCTTAGTCCTAGCTTCTGCCACATTACCATTTACTTGAAGTTTGGGTGTCCCTCTACCCCCTAAGTTTGTTTATAGCAGTTGTTTTAAACAGCTATAAATCAGCCTTATAAATAATTCTGCATCCTGTCAGGCCACCCTAGACTCAGTGACCCATCCATGGACAGCGAAACAAAACACTGTCCAGTGCAGCACCATACCCTTAGGCAGTTGTGGATTGGACTGTTGTGATCCATAGGTTTTCACAGATGAATTTTCAGAAGCAAACTGTCACCTTTCTTCATAGTCCAACTTACTGTAGAACCTTGGCTAAAACCTGGCAGAACCCTGCTAGAAAGTGGCTGCACTTGAAGTACATTAGCTGGAATCATACTTGGAATCTTCATGAAAGTTGATAATTCTACCTCTGAATCACCATTGCCCTGTAAATACATAAGTAAAAATTATTTACGTGAAATTTTTGGAGTATTTAGACATTTTAAAATTCATTTTTTTATTCTTCTTTCATTTGAGGCTTCTACATACTTTTTTTTTTTTCTTCCCTTAGTATTCATTCTACTAAATTGTAAATAGTTTCTTTTGGAATCCTCATAATTCAGGTTCTTTGTGAATTATCCCTCTTTATTGTACCATTAAAATCTAGAAGAAAAAAGGATGCATATTTTTCTATTCGGTTATGTACTCAATAGACTTACAGGAAGCCTCTTACGGTTTTTCTTTTTGCCACAGAGCTCTGGTGGGCTAGTGGTAAATAGTGGTGTGACTTACTCAAAGGCATGCAGTTCACATCCACCAGCTGTGGGTACTGTGAGGGAGAAAAAGGAGCAATCTTTTCCCTTGCAATTAAAATCCTCCAAAACTCACTGGAAGGTCGGCTATAAGTCACTTATGACTCCATGGCAATGAGTTTTTATTGGTTTTCACAACATTTTCTACTACAAGTAGTCAGTCTTCTGTAGTTATGAAAATAAAATGATTAAACAAAAAAGAACAACTAGAAATGTTTATAAAGTATTGTTTGTTGATTCTTCTCAAATTTGAATATCATTTGAATGAATAAATAGAAGTTTAACTTGATAATAAATAATAAAGCGTTATTTTTAATAGCTGAATTTTAATTATTTTGTGGATTTTCTCCTATCTGTTACCATTCTGTCTCCACTTTAATTTTCCAAAATTAAATATTTCTTTAATAATGCTTAATAAAAGCTTATATCTAATTAATTTATTTTACTCATCAGTGCCCTCTCCTAACCGAAGAAAGTTCCAACCTTAAATTTAATAAAGAGTGAGAAGCATTTATTTGTTAAACATTGAATTACTATAAATATTTTACAAGTATTATTCTCCAGAATTATCTGTTCACTTTTCTTAAATACATTTTAAATGAAATACGTGTGCAGCTTTTCCTGTCTGGAGATGCATTCAGGTCTATCAGTTAGCAGATAACCTGTCTTTACCATTTGTTCTCTTGTACACAGGAAATTCAGAATTTCAGCCCAAGAAAGCAAAATAACAGTTGTGCAGAGGAAGGCAGAAATTGGACTTAGCTCTTCACCATGAAGTTAGGAAAGACTAAAGGAGGTATTTCTCGGAGTTCAAACCAAGGAAAAGGCTATGAGAACCCACGCAAAACAGCGCGGCAGCGTCAAAAATGGGGAGTGACAGCTCGGTTTGACTCAAGTTTGAGTAGGCTGAGAAGAAACTTGGTTGAGAAACCTTATAAATGTATTGAATGTGAGAAGAGTTTCAGTCAAAGTTCAACTCTTTTTCAGCACCAGAAAATCCATACTGGAAAGAAATCTCATAAATGTGCTGATTGTGGAAAAAGTTTTTTTCAGAGTTCTAATCTCATTCAGCATCAACGGATCCATACAGGAGAAAAGCCCTATAAATGTGATGAGTGTGGAGAAAGGTTTAAACAGAGCTCAAATCTCATTCAGCACCAAAGAATTCATACTGGAGAAAAACCCTATCAGTGTGATGAATGTGGCCGATGTTTCAGCCAGAGTTCCCACCTTATTCAACATCAGAGAACACACACAGGGGAGAAGCCCTATCAGTGCAGTGAATGTGGCAAATGTTTCAGCCAGAGCTCTCATCTCAGGCAGCACATGAAGGTGCACAAAGAAGAGAAACCACGTAAAACCCGGAGCAAAAATATCAGATCAAAACCTCACTTAGTATCACCTTGGAAAGCTGGTTCTGGAAGGAAGTCAGTGGCTCGTCTCCGATAAACAAAGGACACTGCTTTAGCTCTCTTATAGAAAAGACTGTCCACTGGAGATGCCTTGTAGTAGAACACATAAGTACTGGGTCCTTGCCAGCCATCAAGATACTGGAATATAATTACATTATTAAACAAATTATGTGAGTCCAGCTGTTCTGAGTTCTTAAAAATATAGCTTGGCATACAGAGAAGTGGAAATAAATTTTGAGAAAATAGGTGCCCTTTTGACCTCATTTGAAGGAGCCTCATAACATTTTACCAGAAACTTTTTTTATGGCTTGTGTTAAAAGTGCAGCCATGTACCACTGATTACTGTTTTAGGACCTTGTGGAAGGCATGATTTAATAAAAGGGAGAGAAAAATAATTCCTTTTGTTTTGGGATTCAGCATATTAGATATTTTTATGTTGCTTGTAAAGTTTTGTAGTGTATTAATAAACGTCTTATATGAATTAAAGATTCACCACATTAAAATGTTCACATTCACAGATTTCTAAATCAACACTGTTAGCTTTCTTTTATTCTTTTCTGCTTATGAACTTATTAAAGGAGTAAAATTACCCTGTTTATCATAAAATTCTTAGTAAAATAAATTACAGAAGCCAAACTAAGAACTGAAACCATATCTCATTCCTATAAATACTTGTGGTGGCATTATTAGTTGGTTTCTACAATTATAATGGCTTAACATTGATTCATCTCCATATCCCTGACTTTAGCTTCTTGTGCTCTAAAAGAATCAACCTTCTGGATTTATATGGACAAATAATCACATTGTAGTGTACCAACACAAAAATCTCAATTTATATCTTACTAATTAAAAGGAAACAGTTTATTTTCACCTTTGAGATCTTTAGATAATTGCTGTTATTTTAAGCAAATGTTAAGAGCAAGTCAAGTGCCAGTGCATTGTAGCAACTTTGGAATTTAACTTTCTGAATTACAATAATTTTAAGAAGTCTAGTAGCTCTCTTTCTTAAATCAAAATAGGCCCAGGTGTCTTAACATTCTCATCAGTGTTCAGCTCAGGTTTGAATTTCTGTTACAGGCTACAATTCTGGGTTTTTAGTATCTTTTATAATCATAGCTCTTCCTGTTGTATTAATGACAATTATCCATAAAAATAAAGAATTTAGTATTTTGTGTACTACTTATTTGTTTTTCTTTAAAATTAATGATTTAGACTATAGGTCTGCAGTCACAGCTTTTGATTGTATTGCCTGTCCCCCCACCCCTCAAACTTAACCCTTCTTTGTCTTAAATGATTGAGTACAAGATCATAGAAGATGACTTTGTTTGCACGTTTTATCCAATAGTGTATCCACAAGGTATATTGTTTGTAGAAGGTCATCTTTTAAAGAAGACTTGATGTTTGACTGCTTAGATAATGTTCTGTTACTCCCAAGTCATTTTATTAAGTGACTTTGTCTTAGTATTTTTGTCTGGGAAAGTTAATTCTGCTACTCTAAAAATCTTGAGTTGTGGTTTCTTGGGAAGAGAAATAGCTGGAGTGAGGCAGATGCTGCCATCTTGACAAGAAGGGAGAGTGGCAAAATTATCTAGTGATTGTCTAAGCAGAATTGGAAGGTCTTTAGACTCTCAACAGTAAACGTAGTCCTGAACTTTTGAGAGGGGAGTATAAAGGTTCTGTTAGTGGCAACCCTTTACTGTAGTGCCTCAAAAGTGGACAGGGAATAGAAAACATGATTGCACATACTGAGCCTCTATTTTTACTTCTGGTGTTGAAGATTATTAATAAAGAGAAACACCTTTATGCCATGATGAGATAAAAGGGAGGAGAAAAGCCATGAAGCACATGTTTCTTCCAAGTCAAGGATCAGACTTGAAGACAATTATTTTTATGCTTGCAGTATATTAAGAGGACATAACATTCCTACCGGCATGATTTGTAGTAAAATCCTGCTTGGAGTGGCAAAAGTTGCTAGCTTTACTTTATGTGGGAATTCTGTCCCTATCTTCTAAAAACAGTTGTCGTAGAGTTTATTCTAACTCAGCTGAGTCAGGGTAAACTTTTCCACGGTTTCCAGTAACTAATTTTTCCAGCCCTTCTGGAACACTTGAGCAAGGCCCCCAAATTCCAACCTGAAAGTTGGACAACTGGGTTAAAATTAGACAACTTCCTAGTTGCACTTTGGGAAATTCTACTGAAACCTTAAAGTTGGACTTAGTCTAGAAAATCCATTGAAACCTACTCAGTGTTTACTGTTACTTCAATTTTTCTGTTAATGTATTTTCTCTCCCTGACTGGACTTTGATTTGAAACATAATATGAACAAACTACAAGTACAATGACTCAATCTTGCCTGCCAGGTTGATATGTTACAATAGTGTACTAGTACACCCAGTAAAACTTACATGTTCTTTGTATGGACAAGAAGTGATAGTTACTACAAATGTTAGTCTGGCTGGAGATAGCAGACTTGAATATGCATTCAGTTTCTGATAGAGAAATTGTGCTTCTAAGATTTTTTTTTTCAAAAGATGGGCTACCTTACACAGAAAGCTGATTATTGCAGTGTATTTTTACAACAGAAAGCTTGCTTCTCTAAGAGATTCTATTTTGTAAAGGTAAAAACAATTAATGTTCTTTATGAGGTTAAATTCCATAACTGATGCACTTTTAAATTCCTAGGCTCAGACTGAAACATTTCAAATCATTTCTTGTTATGTGCCATCGAGTCGTCTGCAGCTCATTGTGACCCTATGTAAAACAGCACTAAACTCAGCTCTATCCTGTGCCAATCTTACTGTCCCCAACACACCTACCCCCACTACCCCAGTCTGTGACCTGAATCAGTCCATCTCATTGAAGTTCTTCCTCTCCTGTGCTGTCCCTCCACCCTCCCAAGCATGACATCTCTCTCCAAGGACTGATCCCATCTTGCAACATGTCTAAAGTATGTTGGACGAAGCTTCAGAATCCTTGCCTCCAAGGAGCAGCTTGGGCTTCACCTTCTCCAGGAAAAATTTGTTCTCCTAGCAGTCCATGGTGTATTCAATACTTTTCTCTAGCACCACAGCTAAATGGCCTCAACTCTCCTATCATCCCTAGTCATTGTCCAGCTTTCTGATCATACCTAGTAATTGCAAAGTCTATGGCCTTTATCAGGTGCACCTTAGTCTCCAGACTGACATCGTCGCTCCTTAGTACTTTGGAGAGGTGTCTGACAGCAGACTTTCCCAATGCAACTCATCCTTTTAATTCCTAGCTGTTGATATCAGGAGTGTGGATTGTAGAGCCAAGCAAACTGATGTTGTTAACAATCTCAATCTCTTCATCTATCATGATGCTGCCATTTGGCCCAGTGGTGAGAATTTTTGTTTTCTTTGATGTTGAGCTTCAATCCATATTGAAGGCTGCAGTCCTTGACACTCTGCAGCAAGTGCTTCAGGTCCTCCTTACTTTCAGCAAGCAGGGTTGTGTCACCTGCATAGCGCAAATTGTTTATGAGCTACCTCCAATACTGATGCTACATTTCTCATAGAGACCAGCTTCCTGGATAATGTATTCCACATATAGATTGAAAAGATACGGAAATAGGACACATCCTTGGCACACACCCTTCCCAATTTTGAACCTTGCAGTTGTTTCCTTGCTCTATTCTGATGGCTGCTTCCTGGTCCAAGTATAGGTTTCATGTAAGCACAGTCAAGTTCTGGGATTCCCATTCTCAGAGTTCGCCACAGTTTGTTGTGATCTATACAGTCAAATGCCTTTACATAGTCAATGAAACACAGACATTCTTCTGGTACTCTGCTTTCAGCCAAGATTTAGCAGTATGTTTTTGATTGTCTTAGAGTCGAGCACAACTCATAGTGACTATGAACAAAAGACCTGAAGTCCCTCTACAACTATCAATATTTATTACAGTTAATAGCATTTCTGGAGGCACCAGGATCAATTAAGAATGAGAAGTTACCAATTTTTCTGTTATTATCAATGCTTGTAAATCAAACACAGAAAATAAGACAGGAGAAATGGGCAAAGACAATTCCCAGAAGAAAAAAAAATCAGTTATTTTTCATAGTGGTTAGGTGCTTACATGGTTAATTTTTAAATAAGTATTCAATGGGTTTTTGGTGTTTTTTAAAATGACAAGACTCAGGAAAAAAGTTGGTCACTGGATCAGTCATGTCAGGATGATTCTGGCTGGGCCATGGTTTCTGCCCTGCAGCAATTCTTTTGAAGTAAAAATAAAGGGTGCACAAGATGACAATAGATGCAAATTGGAAATTTACCCTTGCTGCAGCAAGAGTACCAAGAATGAGAGGAGGAGGGGAACACATCTGGACTGATCAGTCAGAGACAAAGGAAAAGACAAGTTACATGTAGTAGGTATGAAGGGGGTGAGGAGAGCAGGGAAGCCACATAGTAGTAACATACACAGAGGAAGGGAGCTTTGGTGGCCTAATGGTAAGAATCTGCTGCAATCCCAAAGGCAAGCAGTTCAAATCCACCAGTTGCTCCACGGGATGATTGGCAGTCTCCTCTCATGTGATTTACTGCCTTTGAAATCCCACTGGAGGATTAGCTATGAGTTAGTTTCGACTTGACAGAGTTGGAGAATAGAACAGACAGTATTAGAGGGGTGAAGGAGTGTGAAGTGTTTCACAGTTCAAAAGTGTAAATCAGTGCTCTTTCTGTCTGATCTTTGTAATTTTTTTTTTCTTGGTTTATTGAACTGCCTAGAACCTTCAGTACAATATTAAATAGAAGTGCCCATAATGGACATTCTTAATTTATTCCTAAACTAGAAGTAAAGCTATCAAAATTGCATCACAAAGCATGAGGCATGCTAATTTTTTAAAATAGAAACTACTGTTTACTGATTGATAAATACACATAATAACTACTTGCTATTGTTTATCATCTTAGATATATATTTGGTAGCTCTGGTGCCATAGACTATAGAGAATTGAGCTGCTAACCCAAAGGTGACGCTCTCTAGTAGTTTGAATATATCAGTGGTCCCTTGGAAAAAAGATGGTCACTTTCCTCCTGTGTGATTTATAGC